TATATATATATATATATATATATATATATATATATATATATATATATATATATATATATATATATATATATATATATATATATATTATCGTTCGATATATAATATAGTACCATACCAAACGAAAGTCGAAACTTCGATACGGTATGATATTTCAATCTTTCACCTAAACAATAAACATTTGCTTGTATTCATAGATTCAAGAAATAAATAAAAATAAAAGTTTCTTCGTAGAAGCAGCGTATGTTACTAATTTTCTCCTATTTATATTGTCATCATATTCTGAAATAATTAAAGATCATCAACTATAACTCATCGTAATTTTAGTTGTGACGTAACTTCTGAAATAATTAAAGATCATAATATTCTGAAATAATTAAAGCACTTCTGAGATTGTGTTTCTTCCGACCAAATCATTCTCCAACGTCTTCGATCCCAACGGTCGAATTCCGAATACGGATCATCATCAAATGCAGCAGATGGGGTGGAGAGGACGCAGCCTGTCCGCCGAAGGATTCAAATTTCGAATGCCCAAATTCCCTTTCCCCACCTATTTCTCTTCGATCCCCATCGCCGTAGCTCAACGAGAACAAGGAAGAAGGAGGAGGACGAGGAAAGATGGCTCTGAGATCCCTCGACAACGCTCTTCCCACGTCCATGAAGCGGCCCAAGAAGGTCGCCAAGGTGGCCGCCCCTCCTCCCGCGGCCAAGAGCCCGGCCCCCGCCCAACTTCCTCGCGATGTCCGCGCCAACAACGAGAACAACCTACCGCCGGCACCGCCCATGGACCAGTCCGTCGAGTACGTCGCTTCCGAGGACCTTAAACCTCTCTCCGACCCCGACGCCAGGATGGCGGTATGTATTTAAGTGGGTTTTGGACTTCGGTGCAATTTGACTCCGTGATTTCGGCTCTAACGTTGACATGACCAGGTATTGTTGGATGAATTGAGTTCCAAAGATTGGACGCAAGTGTGCGAAGCGTTGAATGATTTACGGCGGATGGCTCTCCATCACTCTTCTCTTTTGGTTCCGATCTTGTGAGTTCAAATCTTCTCTCCTCTCTTTCGATGTGCCTATTTACTTGTAATCGAAGATGGAGTAGTAAAGGTGTTTGTTGATATGCCAAGGTGAAAAGATGGAGAACTACTGAGACCACAAAGTTACTGCTTATTATAATATGTTAAAGTCTGCGTGTTTTATCCAATTCAGAGGACAATTAGCTACTTTTATCTTCTAGGAGAACCCAGATAATGGTAATCTTCATTTTGTTTTTGCTTCGGCCATGCGTGTGTTTGATCCCGTAGATGGATTGTCCACCATTAAAGCATTACTCAAAGGTTTGTACCGGTAACAGGTCTCTTTCTTTTGTGTACATCATCTTTAATCTAGCTAAGTTCCACTATTTATCCCATCATTGTCCAATGGGCTTTTGATCGCGAAGCTTTCAAAACCGTGTCTTGGTAGACCACTAGGCTTGAACTCCGGCACCACATTTGAACATTATAATGCTGATATTTTGTTGTTTCCTCTAAACTAGATCACATGTTATGCAAAATGTTAGCAACATAGTTAGTGCTTGTTTGGCTAATGTGTCTTTTATTTTTTGATGGTCAGGGGAAATGTGACGGAAGTGATAGTTAGAGCAATGAAAAGTCCGAGGAGTGCACTCTGCAAGACATCGATCATGGCTTCAGCTGACATCTTCCATTGTTTTGGTCATCTCTTGCTGTTTACAACAGAGAAAAATTCTTTTGGCCAGCTGGTAATTTCGTATTCCCTTCGTTGGCATTTTTATTCTCTGTTAAAGCATATTACATTTGCAAACATTGTTTGTAAATGAAGGCTTTCTGATCAATTAAATGCTTTTCCTCCACCCAAGTCGCTAAAATTCAAGAAGTGACTTGGTGATAGAAGCATAAGACCAGTTTGCTTGCTTGATATGGGAGCTTCAAATTATGGGATTTATGTCCAGAATTAAAATCATGATTCAAACTACACGCTAACTTCTTGCCTAAAACAAGCTTAATGCTTATCTTGATAACCAGTGACAGACATTTTGATTGCAATGATTTGCTTAAAACCTTTGGAGCTGCTGCATGCTAACTTCAAATTATGGGATCTATGTCCGGAATTAAAATCATGATTCAAACCAGGGTTTGCAATATCATACCATATCGCTCGACCGGTCCAACAGAGAACTAGTATGGGCGGTACATTAGTACATCTTAGTATATCATGTGTCAATACGTTTAGTACAACTCGATATGTATCGTATCAATAGCTGATCAGTATATCGGTACGGTACGGTATTCAGAACCTCGATTCAAATGGCATGTTAACTTTTTGCCTAAAACAAGCCTAATGCTTTTCTTTATGACCAGTGACTGGCATTTTGATAGCAATGATTTGCTTTCAACCTTTGCAGCTGCTGCAACTTTTGCTAAAAGCATCTCAGGACAAGCGATTCGTTTGTGACGAAGCTGAAAAGGCACTCGAGAAGATGGCTGTTTCCGTATCTCCTCTTCCCTTGCTCAAGGAGCTTCAATCTTATGTGCGTCATGCTAACCTTAGAGTGAGGGCCAAAGCTGCAGTAGCCATGTCGAAATGTGTCTCCAAAATGGTTTGTCTTTCCTCTGTATTTGTTATTCTCTGCTTAAAGCATAGACAACATCTAATTTGTTGTTCCCTCTCATTCCAGGGTATTGAGGTTATGAAAGGGTTTGGACTCGCAACTCTACTCCAAGTGGCTGCTGAATTGCTTAGTGACAGATTGCCCGAGGCTCGTGATGCAGCTCGGACCATTATTAATTCAATATACCGTGAATTTTCAAATGATAGTAATATAAAGGATGTTGATGAATCAGCAGCAGCAGAGTCATGGCAAAATTTCTGTGCTTCAAACTTGCCTCCCATTGCAGCACAGTCGGTAGCAAAGATTGTTTCGCTTAGTTTCATCTGTTCTTTGGCTTCTACATGAAATTTATCCACCATATTCCATGCTATTTTGCATTTCACGGGTTGTGAAATGTTTGTGCGGCATCGAAGCTGCTGAACTCCTCTAAATTTAGAAGATCTAATAAGCATTCTGGTTTGTTTCTTTTGCATAGTGTTTTCTGGAACATAAATTGTGTGTACTATACTGGTTTTTTTTGTTCTGTTGGTGTAATTTCTGTAAAGGAGAACTCGATCATCGTTTATGTGCTTTATATCAGAACATTTTATGTGCTAAATCTTTTCACGTGCTGATGCATCAATATATTCATCACTAAGGATTTAAAGCATAAACAAAGTGAGCCGTAAATAATATATAATTAACGATTGCGTATCGTCTAAATGCGTGTGTGATGGACGGTGTTGATAACAGTTACCGTCGCTATCCGCAAAATGTTGCCCCGTTATCGGGTTATAAACGGGTCGGAGTTACGGTTCCGTCGAACCAAACCGGGTCGCCCGTCTAGGCGGAGTCTTGTTTGTGTGAGTTGATCTTGACCTTGGTTTGACCCGAAATCGCCAATCGAGATCGGCCCCTCCGCCTCCTGCCCGCCCCCTTCGACGCTTTCTCCCCTGCTCTTTTACAGTCGCGGCCCGTCATCCATGGCCGAGCGGGTCGTGGGATCCTCGCCGGCGGCCGCGGGCAAAGGCGCTGCTGCCCCCGCAGCCCCTCGCCACAACTTGGTTCGCACCTTCAAGTACCTGATGGGTTCGTCGCATGTGCTGCCCCTTCTAGATTGATCCCGTGGTTCTTTCTTGAAGTGATGTGGTTTATCTTCTTCGTTAATTTCAGCAACGCAGTTCTTGTCGAGGGGGATCCCATTCATATTTAATTCGTGGATCGTGAGGCACCTCACGGCAGCTGACTACGCGGTAATTTTCCTTCGTTCTAACTCAACTTCATGATCTTTCTTTTGTTGTTGTTTTTTGTATCATTTGGTAATCATCACTAATATTCACATTTAAGAAAGTTCTGTGACCAAGTCAGCATTCTGTGGTTGGATTCTGGTAAAAATCGTGTTTTTTTTTTTTTGTTTAAGAGGTTGATAATCTAATATGATGACTAAATATCGGTACAAGTTCCTGAGAAGACCAATGCACAGTTAGAAGAAAAATAAATCTGATATATATTGTGTTTTCTTCACTAGTACAGTTTTTATATGGTTGTGCTAATTTGATTCGTAGAGTTGAATGATGAAATGTTTTCTCTTTTAAAGAAGAAACTAAAAGAAACTTAAATAGGAGTACTTTTCTTAAAACTTCTTTTGACAAATGGAACAGTATAAAAGAAGATTGTCCTCTAACAAGTTTTTGCCTTTTTTCATTTTTGTGGGAAGTAAACAAAGCATCAATTATGGCCCTGAGCTAACCACATGATTCAGTTCAATGAACTTGATAGTAAACCACAGGAATTCTTAAAATATGCTTACATTTCATTCTCCCACATAGGATTTATTAGAATTCATTATCAAAGAGCATGAAGACCTCTTTGCTCCTTAAAGGTTCCGCTTCCACTTCTAATAAAATCACTTTGTGCATGTAGTGATCACTGGCTAGAGGGTTCACCATCAACCTGCCACATATAAACAAGATACGCTCTTCAACAATCAAGTAGCAAAAGTATTAATAATTCACGTCAGCTGCCAACTTAAAGGAGTTTAAATTCACGAGGTTAATTACTTAACAAAAGTAGAGATTTCACTAGTCAATGGATGCTCATTTGGTTAGGACATGCAAGTAGCAAAAGTGACTCTACGAAGCTAAGTTCAAGTGGTTCAGAATATGAATTTAGTTTTTCTATTCTGAACCTGAGTTTTTCTGGAGCTAAAACAGTTAGTGATTAGAGATGAGTGATATGAGTTCTGTATTTCTCTGACATATTATGGAATTAGGTCTAGTTAATATTGTCAATTAATTTTGTGGATTTGATTTTTCACACTTCTTTTTTGTGTTGATAGTTTCTGGAAGATCTGATATCTTCTCACGTTTTAGGCATCAAGTTCCAGGATTTGCTGTTTTCTTATATTTAAATCAAATATTTTTTTATGTATTAAAATAATGTTCCAGGAAACCTTTGAATTATGTTCTTTTATATGTCCCAACTGGATACCAATCTAGTTTTAATCCTTTACTCCAATACTTCTATTAATTGAATCTCTATGACTTGCTCCTTTGTTTTATTCAATTATTCTTTTGCAGCTTTATGCAGTACAGTTCCATCTTTTTATTACCTGCATCTTGTTTCTAAGTCGGGAAGGTTTTCGACGTGCATGCATGCGCACAGATATTCAACGGTATTACCTTTTCTCTATATGCTATATTCATCTAATTTTCTTTCGTATTTGTGACATTTATGACACTTATTTGATTTTTCTTTTTAGTATGAAAGCTGTATTTATTATATTGTGAAGATATTGAATTAATATGGCTAGGGGGACCAGAAAATATATATGAAAAATAGGTTTAGCATCTTCATAGGAATGAGAAAAAACAATTTAAGGTGGTTTGAATGTAATTATAACTGTAAGTGCATGGGTGAGGAGTCAATGAGATTTATGTTCGTGAAGGCAAACAAAGACAATAAGATTTCCAAAGTTTCTGATGTTTACATCAGCCATATCCCACGAAATATTAATTTCTCTGCTCATGAACTAGCAAATTTTGGAAGAACCAACGAGTTCTCTTCTTTCTGTAATGCTAGTGAGATAGGCTTATTGCCTAACCCTCTAGCAAAGTTTTTGAATAAAGAGTTTCTTCTTTCTGCATTAAAATAAAGATTTATTAGAACTCTAGAAGTAACTCTAGGTATATGATTTCACTTGACCTTAAGTAACATTTCCCTCGGTAAAGTTCAATCGCTGCAAGAGATCCATGTAGCTTCCCTAAATAGTTGGAAATATCAACTTATTATAGTTATTTTGTTTCAAAAATATCTTAAAAACCATTTAAGGTGGCTTGGTGTCACTAAAGAAGATCTCTAAATCTATGGGCGAGGAGAGTCAATTAGATATCGTGGGACTAAAGAAGGTTTTGTCCTTCTTTGTGGTCCAGGAGAGTTGGTCCATATTAAGTGTTAGATAGAAGAAGGCCAAAGAAGACTTGATTAATAATATCATGAAGGATATGATTGCATCTGGATTATCAAGTGTCCATGACCATTCATATATATTTCTTCCATGCATTCAGAATATTGGTAAATTGGCGTGGCTAGTTTTTTTTTTTTCTGATAGCTATATTTTAGTTTACTGTGCTGTTTTGCTTGTGCCATGCTTTTAATAGGTTAGTTTATGTAGTAGAGTGTTAATTTGTTGGATTAGGTTGGTTTGCTGCCGGCTATTAGGTTGAGTCATGATGGCTTGTAGAGCCTACTCAAACCCCACATAACTCTTTATCTTTTGTACAACAAATACATCTGGTGTGGTTGAATTGTCTGGTCAAGGTTGGTTTTACATCATGTCTTGTAAGGAAAATAAAAAAAGGTTGGATTTGGCTAATTCTCACTATCAAGAGAAAAAATATGCTTATCATGAATCCATTGCGATTTCAGCAGTTTGACTTGCTCCAGCCTAAAACTAATCAGTGGACCTGTTTGGGCCCTGCTGGAGTTAGGTTGACCCAAGGATCGGTATTATGTGCTATATCATTATTGTAAGGCAATGTTTTATTCTTGTTGCTGTAAGCATATTTAAATGTTTGACCATATGCATGTCTCAATCAATACAAAAAACAATTGGCAACATTTCGTGAGCAATTAATCTAACTGGTGAATGTATGTTGTGTTGCTTTTTTTTTTCTATTTATTCTGTTCTTTTTCAGTGTCATCTAAAATAAAAGGATTTTCCTAATTACAGGAATGATTCATCGATGGAAGAAAATGCTGCAAGATTATTGAAAGTAGCTTGGATGACATTTCCAATTGGCATCTTGTTTACCTTAGCAGTCTGCCTCATCGTGTTCTGGTTCCAAAAGCTCACTCCTTCAGATGCATATGCACAAGCTATATTGATCCATGGTATTTCCATGTCATCTGAAAGTTTCAACTACTACACTGTTTTGAGTGATTGGATGCTATTGATTGATATCAAGCAACAAATTTGTTCACACGAGCAGTTTGCATGAGTTTGCAATTTGAAATTTCAGGATCAAATCCATGAATCTGTAATTTTTATTTCTTTGTTAAATGGTGCAGTGTTCTACAAAGAATTGTGACTGACAATATAAAAAAATTTGCCACATGCTGGTAGTATGTGTCATGAAATAGATGCTGAAAAAGAAATTAGCTAGTCCCAGTTCTAAGAAGTCATATAATCTGTTACTGATGGCTGATGATGCCTGCCAAATGCCAAACTTAAAGAGTTCAAAAAAAGATACAGAACTTTCAAATTGTCCTGCTATCTCTCATATTAATACCATGTCAATCTTTATAGAGACCAAAATCCTTTATGAGACCTGAGTTTAATTTTTGTTTTTGTTTCTAAAAGTAAGCACCCACAATATGGTTGTACTTACTTTTGGCTTTGGAGGAGAAGGGCAGCTAGCAATAGAATATTGCAGAAGGTATTATATGACAAAAAATAGTGTGTACATTCATAAGGCTAAGTGAACAATAATGAGACATACTGAAACTTTTCTGGTTACACTTACTCTTGGCTTTGGTTTTAGGGTACAGCTAGAATATTACAGAAGGTTGCATCTAGATTTAATTTCTAAAAGATTTAAATTGATAATGCTAACTGAAACAAAAAAGAAGCATACTCAATCTTTTGAAACTCGCATAGTTTTAGAAATCCTTTTAATAATGAAAATCTCTTTTGTACATTTGTTCTATACCTTTTATATGGTGCTTGTGACATTAATCTGTTGCACATGACAGGACTTGCTTGCATATTGGAATTGTTGGCAGAACCTCTGTATATTCTTTCTCAGAATTTGCTTCTCCTTAAGCTGAGATTGATAGTTGAAACTGCAGCCACTATACTACGATGCATGACGACCTACATCCTCATAGTTAGAAAACCTAACATGGTAAGACTGTATCGTTCATCACTTTGCGTATTTGTCATAGACAATATTACTAATTTAGCTGTATAGAAGAAATGAAAATAATTATGTAAGTTTCATTAATTTCTATTTTCAATAGGTGAGATTTATTTTCTGATCTGTGCTTTTATTTTATCTTCTTTTGGGAAGGCACTGGATATATTTGAAAGTTTTTCTTGATATTGATATCATACTTTGTTTACTTGGCACAAACTTAGGAATACTTCAGCCAGTTACTGTTTCATGGATCATGTTTTATTTTAAAAATTTCTCCCTTTCTTTAAGATTTCTGTATAATACTGGCAGGAAAAAGCAATTGTGTTTGCTCTATCTCAAGCTTCATATGGAGCCTGCTTGTTGTTAGGTTACTGGGCGTATTTTGTATTCTTCTGCATAAATAGATATGATCTTTTTCCCTTCAGGTTTGACATTTTGAGTTGCAAGTTCTCGTCTTGTTTTTACAATAATGCTCGTATTGGTGCATTGAATTGTCCAGATGTGTTGTTTTCAGATTGTCGAGCTTGATGGACTATGATAAACATCTTTTGAAGATGTGCTTATTATTTACCGGTCAATCTTTTCGAAGGTTGGTTCTTCAAGAAGGTGAAAAGATGGTTCTTGTATGGTTCGACACACCATATAACCAGGCCGTATATGGCCTTGTTGATAAATTAGGTACGTGACTATCAGAGACTTTTTAAGCAGTAAAGCAAAATTTCTGCAAATCTAATGATGAAGATTCATTGAACTTAACATGGCTTAGCAAGTTAGCATAAAGGTTTTTCTGATTGTGGTGACATTTGCAGGAAGTCTAGTTGTAAGATTGGTATTTCTTCCTTTTGAAGAAAGTACTTATGCTACTTTTGCCAACATGTCATCAGGTCAGTTTGGCTAGGTAGTGGAACTCTGTTGTGTGTGTGCTTATTTGTTTGTTTGTTTTCCTTGGAATACATTATCAAAATATATATTAGACATCTGGATCAACTGTTGACTGGACATGCTTGATGTGATGATCATTTTTTAATCATGTGATCAGTTTTATATGAAGTTTTCTACTGGAATGCATTCTGGGTTTCTTTGGTTTGATAAGAGGAAACAGCCTCCTTTCATATGGAAAGCTGCATATATCTGATCATCTTTGATCCTGTATTAATGTAAATCTTATGCAGTGTTTGACTTTTTTTTTTGAACTTCTCTACATATTATTAGACTAGACTAGATATAGACCCAAGTGCAAATTGCTGCACTCTGTTAGTTTGTTTTATTCCCCTGAGCTCTTTTACTTGCAATCTTGGCAGATCCATGCATAACATTTTGGTGATATTGACTTTGATCGAAAGGTCGGTCATTTATGGAAACTTTATTGTTAATGGTCATTTTTCCCATTATTGATGTTTGTTTGGATGTGATTGTATTCTAGTTAGTTTAAGCAGTATAACATTGTTGGCAGCAGTCAGATAAGCTAAGCAATTTCATGTTGACAGTCCATTGACTTTTTAAATCATTTTGTAGTTGTTGTTTTTTACAGAACTTGATGCATTAGGTCCATGAGTTTCTGCATATGGGAAAGCATACACGAAATTTTTGAAGTTTCTTGTGAAAATTTTGCCAAAGATGTACATATGTGTAGTTTTCACTTGAAGTGCCTGCTGATATGTGTGTCTGATGCCTTGAATTTTTATAACATTGAGATCTTGTGTGTGTTCAACTGAACTTCAACCACATTCCCAGAATTTGACAATTTTCTGAGATAAAGGATGGGGAAAGTTGTTTGACTGATTCCAAAGGTCTTTAAGAGTAGTAATTTGGACTCATTCATGTGCAGGCTTTATCTACTGCTGCAAAACTGGGTGTGTGGTAGGGCAATCCTGTGTCTAATCTGGTACAATATACATTACCGATCTAAAGACAATATATTAATTAAAAAACAACTAAACTGAGGCACTTGATATCCATGAAGAAGGCGAGGAGGAAATGAAACCATGGATTGGAAGACGACTCTTAGCTGGAAGAATTTCTTCCATCACATAGAAAGACAAAAGAAGATAAGTGGGCCACAGGGCCTTAAAATCCAATATTCACTCTCATTGTCCTTGTCAGACATGTTTGCTTCATTTATAGATTAATAACTTAAACTACAAATGCTGGACAAGATAAGGACTCTGTATTATTTTATCAGCTGGAACTACTAACTAATCTAACGCCTCTTAAAGATGATATCGAATTGTATTTAGAGAAAAAAAATGATAAAGCCCATAAAAATGACAAGACATCTCCTATACAAACCTGATATATTAAAATACTGCACAATCCTAAAAAAAAGTGCTCTAGTATAAACTATAATGAACTAAAAAAGAAATTGACTCTTAGATGAAATGCATCACTTCTCACTCTTCCTTGTGTCATGAAAAAGATTCTGCACAATTGAGCTCTCAGAAGTCCACACAACCAACAACAACAACAAAGCCTTAAGTCCCAACTATTTGGGAGTCCACACAGCCCACTAACATTACTCAGGCAGGTCTGGAGGCATTCTGGGTGATAATTGTATGGCTTTTGCAAAAAGTTCTGCTTGGTTTCTGTGCTCCAATAGGGACAATGGCCCTTCAATCTTTTTCTAGTTACTACAGTGTTCAGTTTCCTTATGATTGTGCTCATACTTATTATAGTATGCTGCTTCTGGGAGAAATCAGCCATATATTTTATATCAGTTATATGTTTCTTGGCACATATAGGAATTTGATAAATCTTATTGTGTTCAAAGATTTTTTTTTTTGCAGCATTTAGTTTTATCTTTTTTCTTGGACAGGTCAATCTTCACAAAGGATTGTTAAGTTAAGAAGTTCCCTTGTAGAGGCTCTCAAGGTTGTTCTGTTGATTGGTATGGTTTTATGCTTTTGTGAAACATTTACTCTTTTGCAAGCAGTGTGGTCTCTCTCCAACATGTACTTGGAACATAGATTAAGTCTCTTTGACTGTTATGTGTAGCCAAAGGTTATAGATCTTTCTTTTCTCTATAATACTCTGTGGGGAAGAATTTTGCTCTTGAATTAGGATGAGAATCATCAGTTTAACATATATAAACATTTACATATATATGCATATATACCTAATAAAACACCATTTAAGGGTAGCCTGGGGAGACATTAGTAGTTGCAATGGATTCATTTCAGCTTTTAACTTAAAAAAATGAAGCAGAACGTGAGTCTAAGAAATAGATACAATATAATCTGATTGTTCTTTTTATATTTCATTTGTCTTTAGCATGTGTAGTTGTGCTCTAAATGTTGACACTGAGGATTTTCTGGATGAGCTACTCTAGTCATCTCAAGTTAATTTTCTCTGGATATTTTATCAGAAAGAACAACCTTGTTTTTGTTTTTGCTTTTTAAGAGAAACTGTAGGAGTGACCACACCAAATAAGCTAAGTACTTGAGGAAGCACCTTCAGTGTTTGAACATGAAACATTTCTGAAGTAGGAGCGGTACCAATCAAAATGATAGTATTTGTTGGTAGAAGATCTATGTATGATAGAATCTTTAAGTGATTCATGTCATATAAAATCTTTAAATTGGCAATACATCATTCTGCATGCTCTCTTGCCTTTCCATATCTGGTTGAGTGTTTGATTTCCATCTTTAATGATAACTTATTGTGGTCTGGTTGACTCTCACTAGAGTTTATCTGATGTTTCAGTTATATTTTAACTTTTGCAGGCCTCGTAGTACTGGCATTTGGTCCAAGTTATTCATATACTCTTGTAAGACTGCTCTATGGGAGGAAATGGAGTGATGGAGAAGCTCCAGCTGCTCTCCGCTATTATTGTTTTTATGTCATTACCTTAGCCATGAATGGTACATAATTTGTTGTATTCCTGCTTGTAGATTTCCTATTAAGGTTTCAAATACGTTGTCTGACCAATCACTGATATCAAAACATATAGCTCAATACAAGAACTTTTTTTTTTTCATTTTGCTAATTTTATTCAATGGTCTCAAATGATATAGGTGAGTATCCTGTCCCCATATACCAGTACCACATTGGTCAAAGATTATCAAAACTGCTATCGAACCAATAATAAATCCTCAATTTCTACTTAAATCTCTGAATTCTTAAGGCCTTTTAGTTTTGATTTGTTCATCTTCAGTTTCTTAGTTAGGTATAGCTGGTATGATCCTTTTATTGCTTTTCTCTTTTTTGCAACTTTTAAGTCAATAAAGACAGATATCACCATTGTAATTCAGATCTATAATAAAAGGACAAAGAGATTAGCATAAATAAGTCAATGTTGATTCTCTTCTAGTATATTCTCCATTTCATACAACCTAATCCTCTGTTCATTAGAAAAGATATTTATGAATTTCTAGTTGAAGTTGATAGAGCTGGCTCACAGACAACTTACTTCACCAAACATCAAGAACCAATCCCAGCAATTAAGAATAAGAATTGTGTTGAAATGATTTCTCCCAATAAATGACTGCATACCATATTTGGAGCTTTTTGATAATTTTGATTTTTGAGCAAACTCAATTCTTATTTGTTGCTCATTTGCTATCTTGCTTTTTGGACCATTATGATTCCTGTGCAATTAACTAAAAATATAAGGATGTTCTCTGACTTCTTTAAAATTTAGTTAGATGACTACTTTTTAATGCATTTATGAATTATTACATCTGGAAAGATAGTTTATGTCAATGTTAAACACCAAGCTTCATTCTATGTTATTATATTAGGATTTAATGATCCTTGTTTCATTGTTCATTCATTAAGGGATGTCCTCTTCAATTTTAGGCCTCTATTATCTTTTGGGTCAAAACATATCCGAAGGCGTGTTTTATTTTTGTAATGATTCGTGACAAAGAATTATAAGCATGTGATGGCATTGTAGTCATTTGTAGGGATGCTCATTTTCCTTTATCTTGTAAATATGTTCATTGATATTATTGTTATTATGTATTAAAAATCTATTTTACTGAACGCCCTCAATATATATTTAGCTGAAGCAAAGGATGTTTGTTTTTCTCTTTCTCTAGGGACATCTGAAGCTTTTCTGCATGCAGTTGCAAATGAGAGACAACTTAAGAGGTCAAATGATTCATTGCTTATATTCTCTGGGATTTACATAGCACTAAATGTCATTTTGATTCGATCTGCTGGAGCAATTGGGTTAATTGCTGCTAATTCATTAAGTATCCTTCTTCTGTAAGACCTTTTTCTCATAAACAATAAAGTTGACGGCTGCACCAGAAAGCTGTGACCATTGCATTAAGTTTATAAAGAAACTTGTGCATCTGCAAATTTGTGTAGGAAGTCAACTGTTGCCTTCATGAAGTGTTGTCAAACATAGTTGTATATGTTACAGCTCATACATATGTAGATTTGCCATCTGTGTTTAAAGAACAAGCAATGTCTATAATCTTTTAGAAGACAGTAATAATATTTTCTTTAACTGTGACTAAGATATGATTCTAAGGATTATCTACTCTGCAGTATTTATCAGCAGCTATTTCCAGGTATGTAAGCTCATATACAATTTTAGGCGATACATGTATGCTAATTGTAAATAATTCTCCTTTCTGTGAGGGTTTGCAATTGATGATAAAATCTCTGCTTGTGTTTGTCAAACAGGACTCTTCATTTTCTTTTTACCGATGCTTGCCGTCTGGCTGGGAAGTTCTGCTTCTTTCTTACACAGCAACTGTCATATCTGAGAGAGTATTTTTAGACAAGGAAAACTTCTGGCACACTCTCCCTATTCATTTAGCCATTGGTTTAGCATGTTTCTGCTTCTCATCTATTGTCATGTATGTAATTTTTTCTTTTATGTTCATTTTTGGTCCTCAGAGGATCTTAAAATCGACTATATAATCTTCACTGCCATTTGGTGAGCTTAATAAATCTAAGCTATTGTCTGTAAAACAGTTATTCTCGTGAGAAGCAGCTCATCAACAAAATCATAGGTATGCATAAACATACCGACTGAGAGAAGCTGATGAAGTTGTCTAGGATGGCTAACACCTCAATGTGAATTCCTTATCTCTTAATCCTTACAGTTATTCTTCTTTGAGAGCCTAAATAACTTTTTAACATCTATGATCTGCAGTCTTCTGAATGAATGACATGAATCTGATGTCTGATCTTTGTTCCTGCCGGAGAGAAGTATCAATGGTTTCTGGTAGGCATGAACTCCTCGACTGCTGTACTTCATTACCACAGGCTGATTGGAGATGGAAGATATACTTGAAGTTGCACATTTGAAGGACTTGATTCTTGGCTCAAATAAAGTTCCCCTTACTTTATTGTATTACTTGCATTGTTCTTTCTATGAGTGAGGGAGAGAAGTATTTGTGTGTTCAACAGTGATCCAACTAAATTATCTGGTTGTCTGTGGGTGCTGGATGCCTGCTGATGGAGCAACACTCTGGGACCACTTTTGGGAGCCATTTTTGGTTGTCCATTAGAAGAGTTTGTCCATTCAAGTGTAAATGCAATGCATTTAAAATTGATTTATATTTTGTATGTTATACTTTCTCAGACATCTGCCTCACCTTGATAAATTTTTTTCTTCTTTGCATTGGAGCTTTTCAAAGTTATGGCCAATTCTTTGAGACTGGTTTCTTGTTTGATCTATGTGCTATTCAGACACTTCTTTCCCCTGGTTGGCAGTTGCATTTGTGTTTTAACTTTCTAGTTAATCATCTGGTGTTGGAAATTTCAGTTGTACAGTGTCTTTCTAACGTATCATCTGCTGTGATTTCATGCTGTTTACAAGAAACCACAGCTGCAGTAATTCTTCCTCGCAGGAATAATGAGTTAGGCTATCTGATTTTTATGTTCTTTCGGATCCTTTCTGACCTTTTTATTTTTCCAGAGAAAGAAAAGAGAGATGCAATTGGAGACAGATTGCATTCAAGTTCAGAACATCTCCAACATAAGAGGTAAGATTTCCCTGCCACACTTTTGCAAGCATCTCTAACAGAAGTGACAAGTTCTTGTGTTAATTGTGCCAACTAGCTTATCCATGCAGTTTGCAGAACACGGCCAATACAATCTTATGCCTGTTTAATGGAGTGGGGAGGTTAAAGATTCGTGCTTGCCATCAGAAACCAATTTATAGGCATTTCTCAATGGAACTGCAGGTTCAAGCTGCTGTCTATCAAATATCCACCAATTTCCTCTCTCCTAGATTTACGTAACTATTACAAATACCATATCCAGTTGTTGGTCGCGGAATGCGAAAGTGACACGATACGTGCACTATGAAAGTTAGGCTTGCTGGCAACTTGTAGAAAACAGGAATAGCAGATTCAAGGAGATGATATCCACATCCATCACAACATAGTATCAAGGTTCATTATCATCCCTTTCTTCCGTAAAATCTTTCTTTCAAGAAGTGATGCATTATAGATCGTCCAATAACGATTCTCCGGTTTAGGTGAATGAGGTGAAATATAACTCATATGCAGCAACTTATGAACTACATGCTTAAACTCATACAAAAACACTTAAATATGAACGAGTAGACCACTTTATTTCCACAGTCTTACCAGTTTTAGATCCTTTTTTTATTGAGCTAATTCGAGTACCTGTATTTGCTCATACAGGAATTGAGAAAACTGAATCGACCCACTCGTGTGATCTTAATCTATTTAACACAGGAATTGTGCAGAGGAATTTTACCACCGAGCATGGTATTCTGTATCCATTGCAGTTTTGTTCAGTTTCATGCCATCCTTTCTTTCAAGAAGCTTAGAGTACCAACCAGCAGAGAGCTTCGGCTTTCTTTTACGGTTTTCATCGTCAAAATCCACATGGTACAATCCGCAACGAGATTGATATCCGGTCAAGAACTCGAAGACATCTATGAACGACCAAACAAAGTAACCTTTCACGTTCACTCCATTCCTACAAACAAAAGAATATTTGAATTTTTATGTATATTTTTAATAAAAGCTCAAAAAATCTTAATGGTAAATCTAAAGCATTACTTCCTATGCTTGGAGGTTTATCATATGCACGTAATAAAGATATCAATATCGACCTGATAGCATCGAGCATGCTACCGACGAAGCCATTCAGGTAATTGATCCTATCGGTGTCATTAAGGCCGCTCTCTCTCCTTCCTATGCCATAGCCTGATAGAAATTACGGTACTTGATGAAAAACAAAGCATCCTTTTAATCCATGATGAAAAGGCATTGTTTTGGAGTGGTTGAACTGACCATTTTCTTCAACAAAAAGAGGAGGATTTCCGTAGGCATCTCTGAGATACTCCAACATGTATTGCAGCCCCTGAGGATCGAATGATGAAGGTGCCGTAGGGTCATACTGTTTATGTTGCAGCAGATGTTAGCCCGTTTCAAGTATTCACGGTGAAGAAACTACATGGTAGGAAGATTAACTCTACTATTTTTACCTGGCCAGGTGTCTCATTCCTTGAAGCTGCATCGAAGCATCAGTAGTAAGTAGCTCACTAAAGTTGAAAACACAATGCAAATCTGAACCAAAAGAGCAAGAGAATAACTTACTTAACATCAAGGCTAAGGAATCCATAACAAAGTCGCGAAGACCCATCTCAGAAGCATTGATGTTATCTTTGACATATACTGAATAATAGTGATTCACGCCAATGAAATCAAATAAGCCCTTTATTTGTTTAGACTGAGATTTGGTGAAGGATGGGAGTCGCGAGCCGACGATCTTCTTCATGACCTCAGGATAGTCTCCAAACACCAACGGATTTAGGATCCTAATAGTGGATGGCTCGTTAGAACACCATCGTGTGAGACTAGAAGATAATGCGCACTGAATTAAGTAGAATACCAGCCAACATAAAACTCGAGCATTCTTTGGGTTGCCTTAATGTCTGCAGAAGAGTTAGTGAGTGGATAATACCAGAAAGTATATACGTTGATGCCTATCCACCCATTTTGCTCTGCCTGTATAAATGGTAAATGTATAAAATCAATGTTGATATGGTCAAATGGTGGATAGCACAAAGTGAAAAAGACAAATGACTTACTTGATATTTTCTTTTGTATAATTTGACGATCGATGCATGGGCTAATAGGACGTTGTGAACCACAATGTAGGGCTCTGTCGTCGAATTTCCTACGGTGCAATTGATGCCAAATGGATAAGAGCATCGATTTGGTGGAAGTATTGCCACGTCAAATGCACCCAGTGACATTATATTGGGTTCGACAACAGTCGTCCACCGAGGAACTCTGTCACCAAAATTCTTGAAGCAAACATCTGCAAATGCTGTGAAATCATCCCTGAAGCATATCTTTACATATCAGCTTAATTGGCTGAGATTATCACAATTACTTTGGGGATTGAGGAAGTTTACTAATGAGTAATAACAATGAAGTATGCTAGTCATCGAAGGACATCTTACACCATTTTGGGGCTCAACCATCCTGAATACTCATCTTCAAGTGCTTGGGGATGGTCAAGATGGTATAGTGACACATGAGGTTTGATTCCTACAGCATTCAGGAAAGGAATAAATTTATGAACAAGGATTGGATATTGACTATCATAAAAATCCATTGTCAAACAGAATTCAAATCTTAAATATCACATTGCTTACTGCTACTGGAAATAATTGTTTCTTGTTTTTGTTTTTTAATCTTTCTTGCAGCTATTATGTGTTTATATAATTGCGAAACATATAATTATCAAGTATGAATTATCTACTTGCATCATGCACAAAAGAATGTCTTATCTCTTTGAGTATGCAAAATATACATTCTCTTTTTTTTTATCTCTTATTATTCTCCCTCATTTATCATTCATCGAGCTTCTTTGCAAAAGATTGATTTAGTTTTAATTATAGAGTTTGCCAGTTCAATTTAATATTCGGAGAGTAACACTCGGGAATGATTTAGCTATGAACAGATACAATTTGAAGCTTATTGGATAGTTTCATAGTTCATTCCAATCTAGTTCAAGAAATGATTGCCTCACTAAAGGTATAATTTTCAAGAAGAGAAGTTTAAGCATTTTTCATACATGATCATTCATCAGTAGTGTTGATTTGTCGTCTAATTGGTTGGCTGTTCCAGTTGAGAGGCAGATTATAATTGCATAATCACACATACTGAAAACACACTTAAAAGAAAGACTCACCATATTTTACTAGCTCGTCAATCAAGTTGTTGTAAAACTGTAAGCCTTTAGGATTAACAGCTCCTCTACCATCTGCAGAACAAGTAACATCACATAAACAACACCACTTTTGTATGAGATCTAAAAGTTTCGATCAAGTCATACTTGGGATAAGTCTGGACCAAGAGATGGAGAATCTGTAGGAGTCCAGTCCTGTTTCAGCCATCAGCTTGACATCTTCCTGAAATATTACCTCACTTGTAAAAAAGACTCACGCCTGATGATTAAGCCTATGTCTTTGAAAATCTTTTATCTGGATACTCATTACACGATCTTAATAATCTTAAACTTAGTGGTGGCTTATAAGAAAATTTGTATCTTAAATTGCAGTAGGCCATGGTTTATATATATCAGAGAAGACTTCTTGGATCATAAATAAGCAAAAAAGTTAATAATAGAACTGGTAGCTAATAAACTTACAATAGGTGGAAATGTCAATATTGGTATAGCTAGAGCAAGACTTTTTTTTTTTCCTTCTTTTTTCTTGTATTGATGAGTTTAAGAACTTGAAGAACCAACTGATCACACATTTATAAACTTTGGTGGTGTTCCTTCAACATATCACATATTTTAACAAAACAATCTTTTTTCATCCTGAAATTCTTTGCTGAAATAGTGTAACTATTCTTCATATATCCCATATTCATATAAGGAAAAGGGCAAAGTTTCAGAACAAGTTTCTGATGACTGCATTTGTCCTCCTAAGAATTCAATAAATGGTTTTCGATGAAAATTCACCAAAGTAATCATCAGCAAAACTCAGAAATCTACTTCTTTGTTTTTTCAAGTTTCAACAGGGGAAAAACCCACCTTATTAATATGTAAACATAGAGGACTTTAGAAATGCTGGCTATGTCATACATATCTCATTGGCAATTATAATTGGATAAATATGAGGAGCAAACATTAGTGAGGGATGTATGAAAGTATGCTTAAAGCTTCTAATATTGTGATCAAAAGTGTCTCTTCTTTGACTTTTATGGGACAGCATAAGTGCATATTTTCTTGAAACCGAGTTGTAGGTGAAAAAACAGGTTATTGCATCATGGTCAATTTCCGATCCAAGAACTGGTCAGGCCATGTAGAGACTAAAAGTTTACCAGTCAGAGAAATCTATGATGAGTAGGCTTCAAAGAAAAAGGTTTATAAAGAAATTTAGATCCCCTTCTTCTTGTGACCATATATTTCCAAAGGGCTCCCTATCTACCACACAGTTGTAAAGAACGAGAATTTGAGTCATGGCCATTTTGCTTCCAGTGAAAATATCTTAGGTATGATTAAAACCTTCTGTATGTGTCCTATGCATAACCATGAACGAACCAAGCTACTATATATTTACTTTTACAACTTAAGAAGAAATTACTACATATATTACTGTTCTATTTTATGTTTGTCTTCATAGATGGCATTAACATGGGACATGTTTTGATTTCTATGGATAAATCCTTCTTCCTTTTTCCACAGTGTTGGAGCCAGAAACATGGTTTGTCAAGACAATTTGGCACGATAGAACAAGGAATTCGAACTAGTAATTTTGTGACACCTTTAAATGAAGAATTCTATTTTCTTTTCTTTTATTTTTTTCCATAGATTAAGGTAGAAGTTACAGACCTTGTATTTGTGGTAGCCATCAGAAGCCACATCTCCTGTGCTCTTGTCCAGCGTTCGCCCTGAAACATTCATCATCCCCATTCAAATCCCCAAGTTATTCATCCCAAAAATAACAACAAATTACAAGAGTTCCAGATTTCAAACTCTTTGTGCATGGAAATTAATTTAACATACGTATTATTTATTAGTTTGGTAAATAATAATACCAAGTGAAGAAATTGAAGAGGAAACAAGGAATGTTCACCTGCATGGGTAAAGGTATCCCAAATGCTTGGTTTCCTTCCATCCTCAGATACTGCTCCCTCCACCTACATATGCAATCTCAGTTATATACCTTTTTCATCTCCATCCCCCTTCACCTCTTTTCTCTCCGCAATCTCTCATGTTCTCTCTGCTATATCTCATATCAAGAAAAACTCAAGAAGATGACGAATAGATGGAGTGATGGGCTGTCTCGCACATAATTAGGTAAGATTTGCAGTAAAGCATGTGAGAGTGCACTGAGTGATACCCAGTAAGCATCATCAAAGGGGGAAAACATCCTTACTAAGAATCCATAAAGAACAGGTCATGGACGGTGATCGAGGATTTTTTTTAACACCCCCACTATGGAACGAGATGAGAAGCCAGTGCGCAGAGATTTGCCTGATAAGACGACGTCCCAGCTCCGAAGATGAAGTCTGAAGGGAAGTCAGCTCTGCCGAAGCTGGGCTCCGTCAGCTGCCCCGAACCCTCTTCTAACGAAGACAAAAACAGCAGGAGTGCCACTCCTGGGATTAGCAACCCTTCCCTCATCTCCTCTCGCTCGAGTCTCCAGAGAGCACGAAGGTGAGGAGGAGGAGGAGGAGGAGGAGGAAGAGGAAGCGGTCAAAGCCGCGCAAGTAGCCGTCCGGTGCCGGCGCCCCTGTTGTGTGGTTAGTATTTTATTTGAGCATGGCGCGCAAAAAGATGGCCTTCATGAAGATGATAATGGTCGAATTTTGTGGGCGAAGTCAATGGAAGGGATAATATTTTGGTCCTACATTTTTTATTATTTTTTTAGTATACAACTCCTCATTGTTTATTGATACAACAAAACAAACAATTCCTTATGAACATCTAATTCTTTACGAGAATAGTTTGTGTATTATTTCTTTTTTTCAAAGAATATATTCTAAACATAGAATTTGAGCCCGTCCTTATCGATTAGACTAACAAACGCCTTTTCAAATACGTTACTACTCCTCATTGTTTATTAATTTTTAGTAATTAATAAGCATATTTAGTATTATATCATAATTAAGAAGTAGACAACAAACAAACAATTCCTTATGAGCATCTAATTCTTGATGAGAATAGTTATATATTATTTTTTAAAAAAAATAATAAAAATAAAATTTGAACTCAAAACCCAGAATGTTACGATAAACTATCGATTTTTCTCAAAGAGATTTCCTCGTATAGTTAAGAAAATCTTATCGGACTATGGTTATTAGTAAAGCTCTATAAAACTTTTAAAAGAAGACCTAATTTGGTCATGACAACTATAATTATTACCATTGCGTTAAGCAGTCAAAGAGAGAGTGGCATCTACACTTGGTTTAAGATTGGATTGGAGACTTCTGGGAAGCATCATGTCAGCCAGAACATGAAAGTCTCTTTTAATGGTGTTTTTCTCTTTCCTGGTTGTCTCATGTATGACCTGCGCCGGTCAGACAGGAAGAAGAAGCCAAAATGTAGATGAACTTATTGGATGAAGAGCATACCACAACTCTGGCTTTGTTCATGAATGGAGTTGGTCAGACATGCGATGAACACCGCATATTTTTGTATTAATTTTGATTTTGATTTTATTGAGATCCTCCTCAAGTAGTGTTAAAATTTATTAGATGAGATTTTAAATTTTAAGCTGTTGTCTGTAAAACAGTTATTCTCGTGAGAAGCAGCTCATCAACAAAATCACAGGTATGCATAAACATACCGACTGAGAGAAGCTGATGAAGTTTTCTAGGATGGCTAACACCTCGATGTGAATTCCTTATCTCTTAATCCTTACAGTTATTCTTCTTTGAGAGCCTAAATAACTTTTTAACATCTATGATCTGCAGTCTTCTGAATGAATTGACATGAATCTGATGTCTGATCTCTGTTCCTGCCGGAGAGAAGCATCAATGGTTTCTGGTAGGCATCTTCATATGAACTCCTCGACTGCTGCTGTACTTCATTACCACAGGTTGATTGGAGATGGAAGATATACTTGAAGTTGCACATTTGAAGGACTTAATTCTTGGCTCAAATAAAGTTCCCCTTGCTTTCTTGTATCACTTGCATTGCTCTTTCTATGAGTGTGGGAGAGAAGTATTTGTGTGTTCAACAGTGATCCAACTAAATTATCTGGTTGTCTGTGGGTGCTGAATGCCTGCTGATGGAGCAACAACACTCTGCGACCACTTTTGGGAGCCTTTTTTGGTTGTCCATAAGAAGAGTTTGTCCATTCAAGTGTAAATGCAATGCATTTAAAATTGATCTATATTTTTTATGCTATACTTTCTCGAACATCTGATAAATTTTCTTTTTCTTTGCATTGGAGCTTTTCAATTCTTTGAGACTGGTTTCTTGTTTGATCAATGTACCATTCAGAGAAAGAAAGGAGATGCAATTGGAGACAGATTACATTTAAGTTCAGAGCATCTCCAACAATAAGAGGTATGATTTCCCTGCCACACTTTTTGCAAGCATCTCTAACACAAGTGACAAGCAGTCTCAGTTTAATTGCGCATGCAGCTTGCAGAACAATCTCATGCCTGTTTAATGGAGTGGGGTGGTTAAAGATTCGTGCAGATTCAAGGAGATGATATCCACATCCATCACAACTAGTATCGAGGTTCATTATCATCCCTTTCTTTGGTAAAATCTTTCTTTCAAGAAGTGCTGCATTATAGATCGTCCAATAACAATACTCCAGTTTTTGTGGATGAGGTGAAATATAACTCAAACCACTGCAGGAACTTTTGAACGACATGCTTGAACTCATACAAAAACACTTAATATGAAGGAGTAGACCACTTTATTTTCACAGTCCTACCAGTTTTAGATCCTTTTTTTTATTGAGCTAATTTGAGTGCCTGTATTTGCTCAAGACGAGAAAACTGACTCGTGTGATCTAAATCTATTTAACACAGGACTTGTGAGGAGGAATGTTACCACCGAGCATAGTATTCTGTATCCATTGCAGTTTTGTTCAGTTTCATGCCATCCTTTCTTTCAAGAAGCTTAGAGTACCAAATGGCAGAGAGCTTCGGCGTTCTTTTACGGTTCTCATCATCAAAATCCACATGGTACAAGCCGCAACGAGATTGATACCCTGTCAAAAACTCGAAAACATCTATGAACGACCAAACGAAGTAACCTTTCACATTCGCTCCATTCCTACAAACAAAAGATCCTCCTATAAGTATTAACAACGATAAAATTGTCATAATGTTTCAACTATTTGGGGCTGGCTATATCGATCTTTCACTATCATTAAGCTCTAAAAAAATCATATTTTTAATTATATTAAGAATATTTAAATTTTTATTTATAGTTTTTAATCAAAACTCAAAAAATTTTGATGGTAAATCTAAAGCATTGCTTCCTATATTTGGAAGCTTATCATATGCATGTAATCAAGACATCAATATCGACCTGATAGCATCGAGCATGCTACCGATGAAGCCATTCAGGTAATTGATCCTATCGGTGTCATTAAGGTCATCGCTCTCTCTCCTTCCTATGCCATAGCCTGATAAAAATTACGATACTTGATGAAAAACAAAGCATCTTTTTAATCCATGATGAAAAGGAGTGGCTGAACTGACCATTTTCTTCAACAAAAAGAGGAGGATTTCCGTAGGCATCTCTGAGATACTCAAACATGTATTGCAGCCCCTGAGGATCGAATGATGAAGGTGCCGTAGGGTCATACTGTTTATGTTGCAGCAGATGTTAGCCCATTTCAAGTATTCACGGTGAAGAAACTACATGGTAGGAAGATTAACTCTACTCTTTTTACCTGACCAGGTGTCTCATTTCTTGAAGCTACATCGAAGCATCGATAGTAAGCAGCTCACTACAGCTTAAAACACAATGCAAATCTGAACCAAAAGAGCAAGAGAATAACTTACTTGTCACCAAGGCTAAGGAATCCATAACAAAGTCGCGAAGACCCATCTCAGAAGCATTGATGTTATCTTTGACATATATTGAAGAATAGTGATTCACGCCAATGAAATCAAATAAGCCCTTTATTTGTTCAGACTGAGATTTGGTGAAGGATGGGAGTCGCGAGCCGACGATCTTCTTCATGACCTCAGGATAGTCTCCAAACACCAATGGATTTAGGATCCTAATAGTGGATGGCTCATTAGAACACAATCGCGTGAGACTAGAAGACAATGCGCACTGAATTAAGTAGAATACCAGCCAACATAAAACTCAAGAATTCTTTGGGTTGCCTCAATGTCTGCAGAAGAGTTTGTGAACGGATAATACCAAAAAGTGTAGACATTAATGCCTATCCACCCATTTTGTTTTGCCTGTATAAATGGTAAATTTATAAAATCAATGTTGACATGGTAAAATAGTGGATAACACAAAGTGAAGAAGGCAAATGACTTACTTGATATTTGCTTTTGTATAATTTGACGATCGATGCATGGGCTAGTAGGACGTTGTGAATCGCAATGTAGGGCTCTGTCGTCGAATTTCCTACTGTGCAATTGATGCCAAATGGATAAGAGCACCGATTTGGTGGAAGTGTTCCCATGTCATATGCACCCAGTGACATTATACTGGGTTCGACAATAGTTGTCCATCGAGGAACTCTGTCACAAAATTCTTGAAGCATACATCTGCAAATGCTGTGAAATCATCCCTGAAGCACATCTTTACATATCAGCTTATTTGGCTGAGATTATCACAATTAGTTTTGGGATTGAGAAATTGTACTAATGAGTAGTGACGTTGAAGTATGCTAGTCATCGAAGGACATCTTACACCATTTTGGGACTCAACCATCCTGAATACTTATCTTCAAGTGCTTGGGGATGGTCAAGATGGTATAATGACACATGAGGTTTGATTCCTACAGCATTCAGGAAAGGAATAAATTTATGAACAAGGATTGGATATTGACTATCATAAAAATCTATTCTCAAACAGAAATTAAATTCAAATCTTATGTATCACATTGCTTACTGCTACTTCTTCTGGAAATAACTGTATCTTGTTTTTCTTTTTTTAATCTTTCTTGCAGCTATTATGTGTTTACATGATTGCGAAACATATAATTATCAAGTATAGATTATCTACTTGGATCATGCACAAAAGAATGCCTTATCTCTATGAGTATGCAAAATGTACATTCTCTTTTTTTTATCTCTTATGAGTCTCCCTCATTTATCGTTCATCGAGCTTCTTTGCAAGAGATTGATTTAGTTTTAATTATAGAGTTTGCCAGTTAAATTTAATATTCGGAGAGTAACACTCGGAAATGATTTAGCTATGGACAGATACAGTTTGAAGCTTGTCGGATAGTTTCATAGTTCATTCTAATCTTGTTCAAGAAATGATTTCCTCACTGAAGGAATAATTTCCAAGAAGAGAAGTTTAAGCATTTTTCATACATGATCATTCATCAGTAGTGTTGATTGGTCGTCTAATTGGTTGGCAGTTCCAGTTGAGAGGTAGATTATAATTGCATAATCACACATACTGAAAACACACTTAAAAGAAAGACTCACCATATTTTACTAGCTCATCAATCAGGTTGTTGTAAAACTGTAAGCCTTTAGGATTAACAGCTCCTCTACCATCTGCAGAACAAGTAACATCACATAAACAACACCACTTTTGTATGAGATCTAAATGTTTCAATCAAGTCATACTTGGGATAAGCCTGGACCAAGAGATGGAGAATCTGTAGGAGTCCAGTCCTGTTTCAGCCATCAGCTTGACATCTTCCTGAAATATTACCTCACTTGTAAAAAAGACTCACCCCTGATGAATAAGCCTATGTCTTTAAAAATCTTTTATCTGGATACTCCTTACGTGTGTTAATAATTTTAAACTTAGTGGGCCTATTTGTAGCTTAAAGTACACTAGGCCATGGTCTATATATATCAGAGAAGACTTCTTGGATCATAAATAAGCAAAAACGTTGATAGAACTGGTAGCTAATAAACTTGCAATAGGGGAAAATGTCGATATTGGTATAGCTAGAGCAAGACTTTTTTTTTTACCTTCTTTTTTTCTTGTTGATGAGTTTGAGAACTTGAAGAACCAACTGATCACATATTTATAAACTTTGGTGGTATTCCTTCAACATATCACATATTTTAACAAAACAATCTCTTTTCATCCTGAAATTGCTTTATTAAATAGTGCAACTATTCTTCATATATCCCATATTCAGAGAAGGAAAAGGGCGAAGTTTCAGAACAAGTTTCTGATGACTGCATTTGTACTCCTAAGAATTCAATGAATGGATTTCGATGAAAATTCACCAAATTAATCATCAGGAAAACTCAGAATTCTACTTTTTTTTTTTTTCAAGTTTCAACAAGGGAAAAACCCACCTTATTTATATTTAAACATAGAGGACTTTAGAAATGCTAGCTATGTCATATATATCTCATTGGCAATTATAATTGGACAAATATGGGAAGTAAACATTACTAAGAGATGTAAATATGCTTAAAGTTTCTAATATTGTGATCAAAAGTATCTCTTCTTTGACTTTTGTGGGACAACATAAGTGCATATTTTCTTAAAACCGAGTTGTAGGTTAAAACATGGTCTGCAGTACCGAACTGTACCGCCCGGTATGGGCGGTACGTACCGGTCCGATAGATTGCCGGTACGTGGACCGTCTGTTACCGATCCGAGTGCACTGTAGTACTGTAGCAGTGCACTGTAACATTGTAGCAGTGCACTGTAACACTGTAGTACTCGGCACACTTGGGTGTACCGCTCGGTATACCGTACCGTACCGGTACCGAGCCCAGGTCGAAACACCGATACGGTACGGTATTACGAATCTTGAGTGAAAAAATAGGTTATTACATCATGGTCAATTTCCGATCCAAGAACTGGTCAAGCCATGTAGAGACTAGAAGTTTACCAGTCAGAGAAATCTATGATGAGTAGGCTTTGGAGAAAAAGGTTCATAAAGAAATTTAGATCCCCTTCTTCTTGTAACCATATATTTCTAAAGGGCTCCTATCTATCACACAGTTGTCAAGAATCTGAGTCATGGCCATTTTGCTTCCTGTGAAAATAAAAGCACTTAGGTATGATTAAAACTTTTTGTATGTCCTATGCATAACTTAAGAAAAAGTTGCTCTATACATTACTGTTCTATTTTATGTTTGTCTTCATAGATGGCATTAACATGGGACATGTTTTGATTTCTATGGATAAATCCTTCTTCCTTTTACCACAGTGTTGGAGCCAGAAACATGTTTTGTCCAGACAATTTGGCACAATAGAACAAGGAACAAGAAGGGTCTTAGATTGCAACAAGTAATTTTGTGACACCTTTAAATGAAAAATTCTATTTTCTTTTCTTTTCTTTTTTTTTCCATAGATTAAGGTAGAAGTTGCAGACCTTGTATTTGTGGTAGCCATCAGAAGCCACATCTCCTGTGCTCTTGTCCAGCATTCGCCCTGAAACATTCATCATCCCCATTCAAATCCCCAAGTTATTCATCCCAAAAATAACAACAAATTACAAGAGTTCCATATTTCAAACTCTTTGAGCATGGAAATTATTTGAACATACGTATTATTTATTAGTTTGGTAAATAATAATACCGAGTGAAGTAATTGAAGAGGAAACAAGGAATGTTCACCTGCATGAGTATAGGTATCCCAAATGCTTGGTTTCCTTCCATCCTCAGATACTGCTCCCTCCACCTACATATGCAATCTCAGTTATATACCTTTTTCATCTTCATCGCCCTTCACTTTTCTCTCTGCAATCTCTCATGTTCTCTCTGCTATATCTCATATCAAGAAAAACTCAAGAAGATGATGAATAGATAGAGTAGTGATAGGCAGTCTCACACATAACTAGGTAAGATTTGCAGTAAAGCATGTGAGAGTGCACTGAGTGATACCCAGTAAGCATCATCAAAGGGGGAAAACATCCTTACTAAGA